GAAGGAAGGAAGGAAGGAAGGAAGGAAACAGAATATGGTCCAAAAGTCCAAAGGGATAGATGCAGAAAAAGAACAACACATACACAACATCTTCTTTCTGGCAAAAGGAACATGCCCAATCCATGCCACATTCAGCCATGGCTGGCCATTAGGGAAACGGCTTTTTTTTAGGCCCGCTCCCCTAGAAGCGATGGCCTCCACCCTAATAGCAATGGCCTCCAACTGAATAGGAATGGCCTCCACCCTAGAAGCGATGGCCTCCACCCAAATAGCAAAAGGAAACCAATAGTAGGAATGCCTTTGGCGCATGTAATTCTTTTTGCTTCATTCTTCCGCAGCTCTTGGCTTCAACTTGTTGCTGCCAGGTGATCCCTCATGAGTCACCAGAGCAACAAGAACAAGAACCGCAGGCACGTTGTTCAAGAGTTGTCAAATGACAAAGTAGAAGCATGTGAGAAGCACATCAGACGCGTGGACTCAAACATGCTCCAGCACGTGCAGAGTGCCTTGCTTGCTCCTCTTCCCAATGAGTTGGATATCAGGCCGCAAGTGGTGACCTTTCAGAGGATCACACAGAAATGAAGGCCGCGCAGTTCGTTTGTTCATGACCCATTTGGCAAGGCATTTTCACACCATTTCTGGAGGCATCAGGAATTGGTACAAAGCCAGCGGAATCTTCCGAACCAGAGCTTGTGCGCCAGCCACCTCAGTTTGACCGCAGCAAGACTGAGGGAGAGGCGAGGCACGGCGGTATGTGTCACGGTACGTATCATCCGGAGCATAATGACGACATTCCTCTTGACAAGCTGTTGTTTGTTGAGCCTCGAACTTTGGCATGGTTGTGCCAGCCGGTAAACTCCAACATCGTGTATTTTTGCATTGTTTGTGTCCTCTTCAACCACCTTCAGTCTTTTCATGTGCCAAGCTGCAGGAGATGGACAGCAGCGATGAAGATTTGCTGAGTGAGGAGGCATTGAATAACATTGAATAACTGAATTTTATATAACTTTATAGGGATGGCCTCCACCCTAGTAGCGATGGCCTCCCACCTACGAGCGATGGCCTACATGGGCGAACTCCAGATAGAACTCCCGTGACATTTGGCATACCCGGGTGTCCCTCTTTTTGAGGTGTCGGTGTTTGTCGGCGTCGAAAAGCGTACACGCCAGATGCCTCTCTCCTTCGGCTCAAGAAGGGTCTAGAAAATATGTCAACATCAGATCAAGCGGAATCGACAGGAAGCGTCATCCGTTTCAATCTTCTTTGACGCATCCCTTCTTTACAACCTTTGAAACATTGTTTTTGGCGGAGTTTGAGGTCTTTCATGATGGCCTCAATTCCATGTTGGTACTCAGCTCAGACAGTGACTGCGAAGTCTTGGAGAAGCCGCTGCCCAGAAGGAGGCCATGGATTCAAAATTGAACAAATAACCGAAAGAAGGTGCCAAAGCTGGGGTAAGGAACTTGCTTGGATCATTTTTCTTGTTGTTAGCTGCTTTATGACGGTTGCAGGCTGCCCAGTGAAGCGGCGATTTTGGAGCACATCTATCGTCCAAGCTCAACGCCAACACTTGAGCTGCGTCGCATCACCCCCAAAGAGGCCAAGCTCAGCGCCTTTCTGTGTCTCTTTTGATGTTTGTTTTTCAGTTGTTTTTTGAGGCGTTTTCTTTTTGCTATGTCGAGCTTCAAGGGCAGCTTTCAGCTTCAGATTCGAAGAGGATTCACTCTCAAAGTGGCCTTTCTTTGACGCAAGTGCCGCCCGTTGTCAGGTGAAAGTGCCCGAGGCCTTCGTCCCGGAGCGTCCGCAAACGGCGCCCGAGACCCTCGAGGCAGTGCCCAAGGCACCTAAGGCACCCAAGGCCAAAAAGCCGACGCCCAAAGGCAGCAGCGGACTGCAGGCCAGGGGAAAAACAAATCAGCACTGCAAGCGTTGTACTTCCTGATGTAGTGGTTGGAAGTTCGACTTGAGCGATTCATACCCTCGAATCATACCTCGAATCATACCCCCGAAGCATACCCCCGAATCATACCCCTCAAAAAGTAGGTGTAAGAACTAGGAGCTGTTTGCACAATTGTCAGGCTGAATTTTCTGTTGCCAGGCTCTTTTTCGCCAGCGCCGCGAGGCCTCTCATGTTTGACATTTTGGAGAGCTAAACACCTCTGCAGTTCTTCATCTTCTCAGCGTTTCTCCAAAGCAGAGAACAAGATATAAGGTGTTTGAGCCTCCTTGATAAGGCCCCATCATGTGAATGGGTCAACCATCTTCTGTCTTGTTCTTTATTTCTATTGTTTTGGTAAGTCAAGCCTTTCTTTCTGACTTCTTAGGAGCAAGAGAAGGTGCCGCAAACACTGCAGGCCAGGCTGCAAGGCCAAGAGAAGGTTGTTCTGACCTCTCTGCATCGCAGGATGGACCAAGTGGTGCTTCATGCGAAGCTGCCAACGCGCGGCCGTATCTCACATGCATTTAAGCCAAACAAATTGCAACGTCGAAAGGTCTTTTCAGAGTTTAATATGACAATCATGCCCAACTCGCAATCTTGCTAAACACGTCTTCAATCACCGTTTGCCAATAAGGCATCTCTGACATGAACATTGGGAAACTCAGCCAATTAACATGGCGTGCTTGAGGCCAGACACTAAGTCGGTCACCCTGCTAGAAGAGGCGGCCTTCCTGTTGCCGGGCAGTACCGTGGGAGAAACGAGGTTTGGAGAGAGAAAAGGAAAAAGGAGGAAAGACAGGTCTAAATGAGGTCGAAGAAGAAAAGGAACAACAAGGTGAAAAACATAATGACAAACCTTCTTTCGTTAGACCTATAGACCTTTTCTTTACGTTTCTTCCCCAATTTTGCAAGTTGGCAGGTCGGAGTGCTGCCGTCTTTGGCCCAACGTGTAGCAGCGGCTGCAGATCGTTTGGCCAAAGTCACTGGGAAGCCGACGGTGCAGCGGCTGCGCAGTCTGGTCGGGCACTCTTTTCAGACGACCAATCCGCCACTGAATCGACAGACGCTGAACTGCAGGTCTTCAATTTACGGAAAAACCCTGACCTTTTGCAACAGGCGCGAAACAAAAAAAGAAATGCACATTCCAAAGCTGGTAAACATGATTTTCAGGATGTTTTTGAAAAAAGCAAAGTTAACAACAGAGGAAAAGAACAAGGTGTTTGAGTCTCCTTAATCATATTAAGGCCCCCGAACACCACACTTCTTTCCTCCAGTCTGCCTTCTGTGATGCTCTCGCTGCTTGCAGGTGAATGCTGAGACCATCACGGTGACTGAGCTGCTCTACATGTCTTCCGAGGCGAAACAACGCAACCAGCGGCAGCCTACCGTTGCCGGCCAGTCTTCAAAGCAAAATTTCATGATTTCATGATGACTGCTGCGACGCTCATGAATGACCAGTGCCGGTCATGACAATGGAAGTGGTATCGTGGTCCTTTGCAGCTTTCCGGTCCCAGGGTTACTAGACAAAAGGAGGATATATTGTAGCAAGGACAAGGAAAGACCTAAAGGTCCAAATAAAAGTGGAAAAGGAAAAGACATGAAGAAGAGAAGGAACAGAAGAGACAGGAGAGAATCTAAGAGACTTTGATAGACTGAAACCTCATGGAATCCACCCTCATTGGCGCAGGAACTTGCAGGTTCCGAGTTGCGAAAACGCCGGAGGCTGCTGGAGCAGGAGGCCTTGAAGGATATTGCCACTTGGAGAAGGACACTACTGATCCGTCCGGGGATCGACGTATCCTTTTGAGGTTTGGTTTGGTGATGGGGCATGTTTGGAAGGTTGGGCTTGTTTGGGAGATGTTTTGGCGGGTCTAACTACGGCGGAAACCGTTAGTCAAACCATGTTTGGCGACAAGTCACTTACAGGACAAACCTGGACAAACTGAAACATGTTTGGGGATCAGAGATATCGGACCCTGGTCTTTTTGGATCAGAGATAGCGGCCTGAACAGTCGTCTTCAGTCTTTTGGCTTCAGAATGTGATCTCAGGTACTGCAGGACCACAGCACCTTCCTTGTCCAGTGCCGCAGTTGTGGCTCTGATGCCCAAGGTGCCTTGGCTCAATGGCCCGAACGCCAAATCTAGGGAGCCAAGGGAACTCCAACCTAAAAGCAATGGCTTTCAACCTGAGAGCAATGGCCTCCCTCAGATTTCTAGGAGCAAAGGGCATTACTAGGAGCGAGGACGCTACTAGTAGCTCCTGGCCTTACTACTAGCAACAAGAAGCTCGCTACGAACGGAGCAATTCAATACTGGGATGGGCGCATTCACTGAGGCGTCATGGCAAGAAGCGCGTCTGCCTTGGAGGAGCGCTTTTTGACACCGAACAGATCCGCAAAAAGTCTTCCACGCTTTGGACATCTTCAGATTCTCCTCCATTTTTTGCATGCTCTTTCCATCTCTTTCCTTTCCTTTCCTTCCATTTGTGCTTTCTACCTTTTTTGAACTTCCTTTCCTTCCCTTTTTCGGACATGTCATGAAGCTTACGAAGCTGCTGACCATGGAAGGATGAAGGTTGGAGCCAGATGTCGATCCGCGGTCATTGTCAGAAGTGTGGACACGCTGGGGCCTTCAACGAAGAGGCGTCGACTTTGTGTGCTCACAATGTTTCTGATGTGACTGAGGTCTGGCTGGACCGTGGATGAACTGAACCAAAAAGAGTTCTGCAGCAGCGACTCAAAGTGAAAGATGGCAGACATTTGCATCCATTGGCCTTCATTGGGCTCCTGTAAGGTTATGGCAGTTCCTAAAAGGCATTTTTGTTAACAGCATCCTTGTTCAATGTGGCAAGTGGTGTAGTTGAGGCATGCTTTGAGGCGAGCAAGGTCCAATGTCTGAGACACGGGATGCTGCAGCGCCAGGGCCATGACGTTGGGATGCTGCGCTCCGCCTCAGCGCCCGGGCATCCTGGTCGTCGAACGTCGCGGTGACACGTCGCCGTCCACGTCCGTGGTCGTCGACGCCGAGGCCGCCGGGCTTGGGCTTCGTTCCCAAGCTTTCCTTGATCGGCGTAAGATCGAGTCTACAAGTTCTTTGCTTAGCATCCAGCTGTTTCAGCTTGCCATTCTTGAGGGAAACAGAGATAGAAAGACACATGAAAAAGGAAGGGTCTATCTAAAGTCTAAAGGTCCAAAGAAAACAGGACGAGACAAGATCACAAGAAAAGACAGACACTACAACAAGACGTATTAGGTTGGAGGCCATCGCTATTAGAAAGAAAGAACAAAGAACATGCATCCGCATCTCGTCCAGGGCTCCGCCTTGATGGGCTTGCCTCCCCCGGAAGAGCCAGGCATTGTGCTCTTCGCGACGTGAGAACCGCAACAGCTTCTTGTTACTAGTAGCGATGCCCTTGTTACTAGTAGCGTCCTTGCTCCTAGTAGTAAGGCCAGGAGCCCCCAGTAGCTTCTTGTTACTAGTTGGGTTTCTGATTTTGAGTTGGAAAGTGCTTCAGGACAGCGCGAGGAGGCGCCCGAGCAGGGCCCTCAGGTTTTTCAATCTTTCTCCCACCCATCCTCGCTATCCGTCTCTTCATCTCTCTCCCTATCCCTCTCTCCTTTCGCTGCTTTAAGCAGGGAGCATCCCTCGGAATCATGGAGGCCATTGCTATTAGGTTGGAGGCTATGCTATTAGAAGACTCAAAGTGAAAGATGGCAGAAACTTGTATCCATTGTCCTTGAAAAACAAGAAAGCTACGAACGGGGCTCCTGGCCTTACTAGGAGCAAGAAAGCTAGTAGTAACAAGTGCATCGCTTCTAGTAACAAGTGCCTTACTAGTAGTAACAATAAAGCTACGAACGGAGCGGAATTTCCTTCTCCAGATCTCTCGAGGACGGCTCTGGACCAGATCTCTCGAGGCAAATTCGGTCGACACGAGTCGAGGCTTGTCGAGGACGGAGCTAAGCGGAGCTAAGAACGGGTCGCTTAGGTCTCGATTTCTTTGGCTTTTTTTTT